TGCTGAAAGCTTGAGAGGTTGAAAGAAACCAACCCAAAGCCAACTTGGATCTTTCTATGAATGATAAACCTACGTCAGAGTTGGCCAACGTCAACTTCTGTGCCACATTGCAAATGAGGACACTGATGCTTCCTGCAGAGGACAAGCTGGACAGAAGGATGCCAGAATGTCTTTGCTGAACTTGCCTTTGATGCTACTTTTTATTTCATTATTAAACTTTTATTCTTTGTTGCCCAGAAAAAGTGTTGATGCTCCATCCCTGGAGGTGTTCAATTCCAGGCTGGAGCAATCTGGGCTAGTGGAAGGTGTCCCTGCTCATGGCAGGGGGTGGAACAAGATGAGCTTTAAAGTCCCTTCCAATCCAACCCATACTGTGATGATTCTTCTGGGAATACTCAAACTCATGGCCCAAACCAAGACAGGAATGTGCCTAAATCTCTTTCATCCCATCTGAGCATGTTTTTAAGTACCTCCTGACAGGGAGTCTACCCTGATGGGACCTGTACAAGTGTCTGCAGCCACTTTTTGACCACAGACTGATGACTTAAGGTCATTCCAACTCAAAACAAACCTGTTCTGATGCCACTTGAGACTATAAACTACCCACAGAGGTGTGTTCTGTGTTCTCCTGTGACACACCTGGTGTTGGCACCTTGTTGTTGCACCAAGAGAACATGGAAACTCTCCTCTTCCTCTTCTCTCAAAATCCTAACCCTTCCTCCTTTGGATAAACAGGATCTTCCCAGGCCAAAGCAAGTTGTTCCTAAATTTAAGTGTACTCTTTTTTCAGCTCTGCTTTGTCCTCATGACAGATGGCACTTGGGAATTAAGGATAAGGAAGCAAAGCACTGAGTGGAGGCTGAATTTCAGCATCCTTTGGATTTCATCATTCCCTCCTGGAGAAAGCTGCTTCCTGCAGAATCTCCCAGGGCACAGAAACCTACCACTGTGTCCATGACCAGCACAAAATCTCAGTGGAACTGGGAAATCCCTTTTCCAAGTTCTCCTGAAGGGAATTGAACTGGTACAAACACTTTAGCTGGGTCTGTGCACCAGGATGGATATCAACAACCAAAGTAAAGGAAGAACTGAACTTTGTAAATCCTCCAGGTTTGCTTGGAAAAGGCTTATTTTATCTCCACTCAAAAAG